CAGACAGACAGACAATCATGGTCGGTGAAACCAAACTGGAACTTCTCAGCTACAAAACCAGCTCATGGCAGCGTCATGATGAGGGGGTCCTTCTCTCTTTGAACATACGGTACGCACCAGTTTAATGCTTAAAGGCATTATGGAGGATTTTTAAAAACAAATCGCCCTCTCCACTTAAAAAAAAAAAAATGCACGTGCAAGAGCGTGCACAAGCCCATTTCTCCTCGTGCACGCCCTGTTTAAAATGTGCTGTTCTCATAGCTCATACAAGCTAACTGTGTCCAAATACAGCAGGGACTATATAGTGGACTTTATAGTAAACTCAGTTAACTGACCGTTCTGACAGACGATCACTGCTTCTTGCTCCAAAGCATTCTGGGATATATCTGCCTCTTCTGCGGCCTTTCTTCTCTTCTCATTCACTTCGTAGACACTGTTTCTCGTACCACCGTCGGCCATTTTCAAAGAACCGCGGTGAGAAAGGTGAGGTTCAACGACTGTCTGAAACCGTAGCTCACCACAAACATACGCCTGAAAGTGCGCATGCGCAGAAAAATATAGCTAACGGAGCGAGCACGTAGGACGGCCTTACGTAAACGTATCACCAGAATGATTGACAGTTAGGAGGACCACTCATTTAGATGATCCACCCAGAAATAAAAAGGTCGTCAACTATACCTTTAAACATTCAGCCCTCTCCAGCACTGCAAAAATTTGAATCTAAGTAGAGACATTTTTTTTTTAAGTAATTCTGTTTTCCCTTGATTTGATAGAATAGGACTATTTACATTTGGAATAAAATAAAAAGACTATATTGCATTATTTCAAGGGCATAACAACATATAATCTTATTTTAAGGAGAGAAACACTATTTTACAAGCAGATCATCTTATTTCTGGCTCAAACTAATTCATTTTTTTTGTTTTACTTTATCTTAGATCAGCTCTTGAAGTGAATTACCATAATGAAGGGGTTTATTTCTTAGGGTTTCAGTTTGTTCCCAGTAGGACTGGGAATTAATAAATAGATTTCACATTAATACATTTAACAACAAACAGTAATACATATCTTTCTGGGCTCAAGCCCTTCAGGTGTTGGTAATACACATAAAGTTAGCTTGCTGCTACACAGAAGAGAAGAAAGGGTTGCAGCTAGCATGCAGAATCATGCATAGGATAGAAAGTAGAACTTATCCATGCAGCAGTAAGAGTAAAGTCCTGCGATAATGGACTTTTGAAAAGGAACTTTAAGGTCATGGAAATAATAAAGCCCTGGAGAGAAACCTCGACATGCTCATGGTTAGCGCAGAGGATACCCGCAATATTAGTTGACTCTCTAGTGGAGGAAATTTGTTGGTTTGGTTTAGAAAAAGCTGAGAACTGATCTAGTTGGGTTGCCTGAAGACAGCCAGGGAATAAGAGATGATTTCTGCAATCTGAGAGATTAAAAAATGGTAGAGCTTGGTTAAAAGCCACCATGTAAAGATAAACTGATGGACTCCTATGGAGAAAAAAAAACTTACTATTAAATCCTCAAAAGAGAGTCAGTAAATAATTATTATGTTATTTTCCCTGTTTCAGATTTATTCTACCAAACAGATGTGGTTTTTTTTTTTACTTTTGGTGATTTGCACAGGATCTTTGCAGATTTGGTAAATTCTGTTGATCTCATTCATTTTTCATCCCAGAAAACCATCATTTGGTTTACCTTTGGGATCCACTCTAACCGCTGCTTCTCTTACTGGCTGATTCTCTGCTAATCCTTTTAAAGATTTAAAGTGTTGATGTTGTAGGAAAAGCATGTGCATCTGTTTTGTTTTTATTTTCTTACTTAAATTGGTGAATTCTCGTAGAGGTGCAGTTTTTTCCAGACTAACTGGGATGGATGACGTCTCACTGGAATTTGACCTCGTCTCTCAACATGACTGGAAAAAGTGAACTTTTTTTAAAGAGTTGCTATTTTCCAAGCTTTAAGGTTCATCTATTGCAGGGATCACAACAATAAAGCTAAAATTTGTTGCCTTTTTAGAAGGAGTAAACTGCTTTTATCCGTGCAGCCGTGCTTTAGTGACGCAAGTTCTTCCATCACTGCATGATGTCGCACTGATTACGCTTCACAACACCTTGGGCGTTATCTTCCATTTTCGCTTCATCTCCTGCTCTTTTATGTGATGACTTTCATGTCTGACCTCCAACCACACGGCTTTGCACCGAAACCAGAGATTAGTTTGGATTCCAATGCTCATCAGGAGAGAAGAAGCGTGCCGGTATCCGCTGAGTCCCTGTCCTTAGAGCAGGCCTGTCAGAGTCTGAGGAGGCGTTAATCCGGAGCGACTAGCTGCCACGTTAGAGGAGCAACACAATAAAAATGTTTGTCAGGTTATCATTTCTGCTGCGCTCTTCTTTCCCTTTAATAGCCCTAATAACACAACAGCTTTGTTTTCTTCTTCCACTCCCACAACGTCTTTCCATCCACTAAGCTTTCTGACAGCCTTTTAAAATCCACTGCTTTGTTATTTCTTGTGACTGACAGCCTCACATATCTCCGTCTCCTGTTCATCTCCTTCACTGTTGCAGAACTCTTCTGTTTTTAAAGTTCCTCAATGATCAACATAAGCATTTGGCTGATTATATTTACCCAACAGATGATAAAATGTAGTTTTGGGGCATTTTAATTGTCTCCCAAATGATCCAAAGTCACTTAATGCAGCGTTTAGTAAATATGGTCATTATTATGGAGCTACAGCTAACATTAGCAGATGGTTATGAAACATTAACATCCCATAATAATCCACTAATGTCACTGACCAATAATTAAACTAATCATTTTAATGTAAAATATGCAGCCTGTCGTTCGCATACAGACTTCTTTTGACTCTTTATGAAGAGATGGAGATAAAAACTGAGTCTCAGACCAAAAGTCTAAGTCAAGTCTGACGAGTTTGATTTTTGGGACTTAAGTGTGACTCAAATGTCTCAAACTTGAGTCAACATCTGTTCTTCTATCTATTTCCTTTTTGGTCATTAAATATTCTAACTCACCCAAAGAACAACCTCCTTATCAGAGGATTCTATGTTTATTAAATGGACCCCAGGAAGAGTAGTCTCTATAATCCACGTTAATTTTATAATTTATTTTTATTTATATGGTCAGTACATCTCTACAGTACAAGTCGTTAATTCAAGTCAACTACTGTGCAGTCTTTCCTTAGCTCTCTACTGTGCAGATATTTTATATCTAAATGAAACATATTCCAGGACATTACAACTTTTTATGCTCTTTTGTACTATATACGCATATTTTATATTGTCTGTTGTATTTTTATCTTTAATTGCATTTTGCTGTACTCTCTGTAAGCTACTGGAACCATAATTACCATAATGGGAGGAATCCCAGAGGAGGAATAAAGTTGAGTCCAGGTCTACTCTCATAGAGACTTATGGGGATTCTTACATAAATAAATAGATAAATATTGCTGAAATGTTTATTTTCATTACATGCCTGAACAGAGATGCTAAAATAAGCTGATATTGATTAAGTTATAATGCCAAGGTTGGCCACTAGATTCCTCTTCAATAACCAGTTTTTCTTTTGAATAGGATGCTTCAGTTCAGCCTAATTCTGTTTATTTATACAACACCAATTTCCAACATGTCATTGTGGGATCAGATCATCCAGTCAGATTGGTCAAAACTATATATTTTTTTAAAGAAAATTAGCTGATTGGATCCTGCCTTTGACGTAGATGGATGTAATTCTCCTAGATGAGCATTTAGCAACAGCAGATGTTCCTCATGCAGCATGTATGCAGCAACAGTGGAGAGGAAAAACTCCCTTTAAATGTAAGCGGCCTTCTGCTAGGACCGTCTAGAGCAGGCATCCCCAAAGTCGGTCCTCGAGGGCCGCTGTCCTGCAGGTTTTAGAGGTTTCCTTGCTCCAGCACAGCTGATTTTAATTGAAAGCTGATTTACAGGCTTTTGCTCAACTGCAATCATCCTAATCAGCTCTGCTAAAGCAGGGAAACCACTAAAACCTGCAGGACGGCAGCCCTCAAGGACTAACTTTGGGGATGCCTGGTCTAGAGGTTAAGAAAAAAACACAGGCAATAAAAGGAACATAGAAGCACTGATCTATTAATACGTTCTATGTTAGAAAAGGTGGCCTTGTCTTGGATAGAAACAGATCAGCTCTGAGGTGGTTGTCAAGTCAAAAGCAATGAAAGAGAGCACATCCAGCAGGTTGCAATGTAAGCTGAACCCATAGCTGTCTGTGAGAGAAACAGGACCAAACACTGAAAAGCAGGTCAGACTCTATCAGCTATAAGGAAGTTGTTGACGGCAGCAGCAGCTGATGCTTCCCTCCTGGTGTCCCACCTAAGCAGAACCAGGTTCGGTTCTGCATTTTAATAATAATTTCAAAAAAAGTAAATTAATTATAATCTGTGAAATCTACAAAACTAATCTTCTTTTAATCCTGAAACGGCTGTAGAGCTGATGTTTGCTTACTTGGAGTTTAGTTTTATTCATGTGAAACAGGTTAAAGTTTTATCATCGTCATGCTACCACATCGACAGGCTGTGGTTTCTGTTCGCTGTTAAACAGTTTGATGAAAAGAACAGGAAGTTCTCGGCTTTTAAAGCCTCCTGAGGATTTTTGTGTCCATTTGCACCACTGATTGCTGCCTCCCACGCTGCCTCTCTGATATGGAGACGTGTTTTTTCCCTGGAGTAGGGTGTGAAACAGCTTACATGACAGCTTGCCTCATTAGTTATTCCCAGTTCCCCCTGGATCACCTGCATTCTGGGGTTCTACGGAACAAAGCTGCAAAATGGCTGCGAGGATCTCCTCTGAGTCTGGCTTTAAAAGCAGCTTATTGGGGCCCAGTTCTGTTTGCCAGGATGTCTCTGTGATGCTGCAACACACGACTGTTTCAGTGCTTATTATAGATTGGAAAATGTTTCTGACTCCTTCATTTGTGCCTCCTCCGTGTTTTGCTCTCAGGTTTGCAGTCATCGCCTCAGGCTGTGCCAGCTGTCCCAGACTGGTGTGTCGGAGAGAAGGCTGCGGCGCAGAGTTTTGCTACCATTGCAAACAGGCATGGCACCCCAACCAGACCTGTGACTCGGCCCGCCAACAGAGGGCGCAGTCCCTGCACACCCACAGCGGCCACTCGCCCAGCTACACACAGGAACAGGGTCCCGGTGAGTTCCCCAGAACCCAAACACTGCGACTGAGACCTCAAACTAGACTGGTTGTGTTGCTGATGTGGCGGATAAGCACCAGCGCTGAAACAGACGGTGCACACCAGCAGCATTTCCTGTTCTAAACAATGATTTTCACACCTTTCTTACGCTCTGTGTCTTTATCGAACTTTATCACACGTCCGGCTGCTCAGTCTGTCAGCATCAAAACCCTGCGAGGCGTCTGCAGCAGAGGCTGCGCTCCGTTCCCACCGCTGGAGGAAGTGCGAAGTGCTTAAATCAGTCATCTGTGTCTATTTTTGTCACAGTTTCTCGATAGTTTCACGACTGCAGCATCCTGCACCCGTCAAACGTCTCAAATGTCACCAAAACTTCAGGTCACCTCCGGGATCATGTTTCGTGCTGCATTTCTGCATTCTGTGGCTTTCAGACCGATTTAACACATTCAGCTCGGCTGTTTAACCAAAACTTTGTCGCACACAAGTAAATAAAAAAATAAAAAAAGCTGTGAAAAGCATCTTTCCTCTTTCAGATTGCTTCAGTTTTTACTTCTTTGTTTCTTAAAGACAGTCTGTGGGAATAAAATAAGTTTTTTTTCTGAGGATTTTATGTATTAAGTTAGAAGGTCGTCCAAACCAACCTGGTCTAAAACATAAACCTCCTCTTGTTAATCCAGGCTTAATGTTTTTCATGTAGCTGTGGAATCATCCATTAACCCTTTAAAGCCCGATCCAAGAATAAAACAAAACAGAAAATTACTTTTTTTTGGTTTGAATTCCTTATTTGCCCTTTTAACAAAATATGTAAAAAGAAAAAACAGAAATACATTTTTGATATTAATAATTTATTACTATGCGATAAGTCAAGATTATTTTTTGTGTAGTCTTCTACTGGCTGTTATCAGGTATATCTGATTGTGTACTATAGGTTTTTGAGCAAAGTTTTTACAATTAAATTATGCAAAAGGTGTCAGACGCAAAACATTTCAGAAACCGTATGTATCAAATATGATACATTTGGCTTTGTAGGGTTAAATAGTAATGAAATAGGCTAAAAGATGCTAAAAGCAGTTTATCATTCCCCGATTTAAAGAAATGGGATGATTAAACATCCATCAGTTGGTTTCCCTCATGACTTTGGTTAAACATTCACTGGATAAATTAGACAGAAATTAAAAGAATCATATTTTTTTCTCTGTTGTCGGACGTCTTTGACCTTTACTTCTGTTTCTTAGGTTTTTTTTTGTTGTGGCGTCCAACAGAAATGTAAAAAGGAAGCAGAAATAAACAGAATGCCTCGGTTGTTGCTGAGGTGTTGCTTTGTGATGCAATCAGAGACGTGGAGCATAAACTCTGCAGGGTGTTCAAGCAAACATCTTTATCTTCACTTTAATCCTGTTCTGATTAAAAAATCCATCCACTAAATCCCTCTAGCCGCCGATCTTTTCTGCTAATCTCCTGCACCAAGTTTTCAGAAGTAGTAGCGGCGAAGCGAAGGGTTCGGAGTAGGGATGCACGATACAATCGGCCCCCTATCGGTATCGGCCTGTATCGGCCTTAAAACTGAATATCGGACATCGGCCACCCCACCGATATTTAACCCGATATTTGATCAGCTTCTGAGTTTCTAAAGTAAAAAAAAAAAAAATAAATAAAATACTACTTCTTCTTCCTCAAAAACTTCTTTTTTTACAAACTTAAAAACTTCTAAAGACGGGGGAAAAAATATTGATACATTAAAATATCACAATATCTTCATATGCTGATATATTGCCATTTAAAAACACCATATCAATCTCTTTTACTAATGAAATGTTGCTATATGTCATCGTTATGCTACGAAATCCCCCGAAAATTCACGAAATTTTGCCATATTTTTATATGTTGATATATTGACGCGGTATCGATCTATTTTACTAACAAAATCTCGGAATAATTTGCGAAATATCGCAAGAGTTTGTAACCGATCGATGAAATTTCACGAGATTTTGAAAGTAAAATAGATCGATACCGCGTTTTTAAAAATCTATTTGATATCAGCATATGAAAATATATTTGAGTATATTATTTTTCAAAGTGTCAGAAATGGATAATAAAACTGCTATTTTCAATGAATACTTATTTTTGTCCAGCTTTAACGTCGGTATTGATATCGGTTATCGGCTACATGAGTTTTAAAATATCGGCATATCGGATATCGGCCGAAATCCCAATATCGTGCATCCCTAGTTCGGAGCGTTTCTTTCCTTGCAGATTCATCTGCTGATAACAAACGCTCAAAGCGACCTCAGATCAGCAGATTCCAAACATGCAGTAGAACCCTGAGAAATGCGGGTGCTGCAGTTTTTTGGTCCATTACTCTAATGAGGTTTGGCTCCTCTACAGGACTCTGCTTAAATTGCCTCCCAGGTTTAGACTCCTATAAAGGGTCTGTGTTGGTCATTTTTAGACAAAAAGTACAAATAAAGAATTTTCTCACCTACTTCAATCAGCAAACCTGTTTTATTTCTAGAATTCGACTCTAAAAGCCCTCCTGTGTATTTACGACCCCCGACGGAGCGTTTTACAGTTTGTTGGTCGTTCCTGCAGCAGCTTTAAGAGTTTTGTTTGTTTCTTTACAACAAGTTTATTCCTGGCAGGTAATGGAAAAGAGATAAAAAAAGGACTTGTTTTTTTGTAAATGATTTCCAGATTCTGTTTTGGTTTCTCTAAATGTTACTGAATCAAACCAAACTGGAACATTTCATCACTTTTGAGTTTGAGGTATTTCTGAAACAGGAAACAAACAAGATAAGAGTTCTTCCAGTTAATTTAGTGGAAGGAAAAACTGCCGTCTCTTTGCTGCTTTGAGGAAACGATGTTGCCTCTTCATTTTCCTCAGAACCCGGGGCCGTGAGATCGCGTTTTTCATCTCCTATTTTTAGAGACTGATCTGCATTAAGTTCCCTGTAAAGGTTTTCAGACCTCAGCGTCTCTATTGGCTGCTGCTGCTGAAGTCTTAATGTTTATGGCTGCTGTCTATAGAGGCTGACTGCTCGTAAAGCTTTATGGCTTCCCAGACTCCTAAAAGCAGCAGCTTATTTAATTCTATCAGAACTAAAGTCTCAGAAGGGGAAATGTTGATCAGTTGTCCTAAACTCGTCTCATTTTGTGTTTCCAGCCGACGACATCAAACCCTGCCCACGCTGCGGCGCCTACATCATCAAGATGAACGACGGCAGCTGCAATCACATGACCTGCGCCGTCTGCGGCTGCGAGTTCTGCTGGCTTTGCATGAAGGAGATCTCCGACCTGCACTACCTCAGGTATCTGCAGCAGCCCTGCTGAACCTCCCGGTGATGTGAATTCACCCCCCCGGTCTGTCATTCTTCATCTTCCACCTCTGCTTTCCCTCCATCAGTCCATCTGGCTGCACCTTCTGGGGGAAGAAGCCTTGGAGCAGGAAGAAGAAGATCTTGTGGCAACTGGGAACGCTGATCGGAGCTCCGGTGGGAATCACCCTGATCGCGGGCATCGCCGTTCCCGCCATGGTCATCGGAATCCCGGTTTACGTCGGCCGAAAGGTGAGAGAAGAAAAACTGCTGAGACGCATCAAGACGTGTAAATGGAGTCTTTTATAGCAAGGTTTTTTTTATAAAAAAATTATTTTTTTTCCACTTTATTTTGATAGATTTTTTTACAGGTATACAACAAGAACATGACAATGATTAATGTCCTTTAGCACTTGTTACAAAAATAGAAAACAGAAAAAACAAAGAAAAAAAAAGCATTAGACAAACAAAAAATAATATTATATAAAAATAATTTGTTCATTTACACTTTAGACATACTGAAAGTAAAAAAAAACACTTTATGGAGTTTCAACCAGTCAATTAGAAGTGTCCACACCTTTATTCATGACAAATGGGGTAAAGAAGAACAAAAAAAGAGGGGGAGATAGGGGTTCTTTATGGCTTCAGTTGTTCTAAAATGGGTTTCCAAATTTTGTAATATTTTTGAGGACAGTTTATTAAATCAAATCAAATTTTTTCTATGTGCAAGATTCCTGTAAATTCCTTGATCCAAGATTCAAAATTAGGTGGTCTGTCAGCCTTGCATCATGCCACAGGAGACCACTGTTGTTACATCACGAGCCAATTTGTTAAGAGTGTCCGAGACACCAAAGAGGGCCGTTTCTGGATCGAATTTTACGTTAACTTTAAGGGCGCAAGAGAATTTTTATAAAAATTGTTAAAAAGCAAACCACTAACCAAAGAGCTGAGATCAGTGTGAAGGAAAAAAAAAAACATTTTAAAGCAAAGAAAAGGATAAAATTCCTAAATATTTTTTAGTTAATTTACTTTTAATTAGCCTTCTAAACTATTTTCAGTTTTCAACATCTGCTTTTAATTTTCTTTTTGGTTTTAATGGGTAATAAATAGGCAAATCAAAAGTTTAACAAATAATATAATTATTCAGAGATAAATATCTAAAAGCATGCAGCTATTATTCGTTTTATGTTTACTTAATTTGTTTAGAATTTATTCCTAAATGCGCCACATAGCAGTGGCGGGTGTTAATTAAACCTAAATGTCATGTTTTGCATGAACCAATATTAAAAATAAAACTCTGATATGAAGCGCTGTGAAATAATAAACTCGAGAAACTACAAGAGTTCAGCACAAAAATGACTGTTTTGACTGAATAATCACTTTACGATGTCGATTTATGAGGAAAACCTCCTCACTGTCTGCCCTCTGTCAGTTAAAAATCCTTCAGTATGTTGACCAATCAGCATCGAGCAGCCAACTTCATGACCCGCCCCCAAACCATAAAGGCAGCATCATGCTGGGGAGAGCTGGATAAACAGATTAATGCGCAACATACTCCTGTACCACAGTATTTACTGAAACATACATAGATTTTAATATAATTACATTGTTTTATATTGTTTTTACTTGTAGAAATAGAAATAAAAAAAAGTAACCACCCTCTCCACATTTAAAAAAATGCATGTGCAAGAGCTTGCACGAGCCCATTTCTCCTCGTGCACGGCCTGTTTAAAATATACAAGCTAACTGTGTCCACCTGCAGCGGGGAATATATAGTGGACTTTATAGCAAACTCAGTTAACGGACCGTTCGGACAGATGATCACTGCTTTTTGCTCTATTGGTCACATAACTCCTCCACTGTGCAGTACCTGCGCCATCTTTGTTATTAGTTGCCTCTGTGTCAGCAAATTCCATAATGCTTTGCAGAGAGCTCTCCGTGCAAAGCATTCTGGGATATATCTCCCTCTTCTGAGGCCTTTCTTTTCTTCTCAAAAAGTCCGTGGAAACTTTTTCTCTTATGACCGTCGGCCATTTTCAAAGACCCGTGATGAGAAAGGTGAGCTTCAATGACTGTCTGAAACCGTAGCTCACCACAGACGTATGCCTGAAAGTGTGCATTAGGGGTGGGCATTGGCAAAGAAGTAATTAATCGATTTTAATCACGATTCACATGCCACGATGCGATTCTATCACGATGCATCATGATACTTGAAATATTGCGATGCATTGCGATATTTTCACTGAACACTGTAAGAAAAAGATACAGCCATTACCAGTGGCTGACTGGCTGGGTGTGATCTGGATGGTGTCTTCAATTGATGCATAACTGAAAGCAACTGAATTCATACATAGCTGTATTTATTGAAACGACTTTTGGAGGTGTTGCCATGGAAACAAATACTGGACAGAAATATTACTATTATTGGTGAGGACACACTGACAAAAAGATCTTAGGATTCATCAAACTTAAAATAACAAAATAAGGATAATCAGAGCCGTTTACATGGCCTCAGTGGTCCTTTAAACCAATTAAATGAAAACATTCAAATGTATATTTTCCCTTTTGGAAATGACGTGCATCATATCAGTTTCATTTTTACCTTCTTTGTTTTTAAAGCCAGAATGCATCCAAGCATCTGACTTGAAATGTGATGGAGCCGGGGGGCGAATTTTCTCAATCTCCTACATATTTTGTTCACGAATGACTCGTCGCAGTATCCCACGGCCGGACATACTTGTGACACAAAGCAGTGGGCGTCAGCGACATCTGCTGGACTGGAAGTTGTATTCCACTTGGTTTGGCTGATGTGCGCCAACCATTAATGTATTTGATTTGTTCATTTTTTTTTTTTTTTTTTTATAGTCGATTCTTGAAGGCAAGAATCGATGCAGTAGATCACAAAAATTAGAATCGCGATGCATCATCATGACGATTATTTTGCACACCCTTAGTGTGCATGTGCAGAAAAAGATAGCTAACAGGGCGAGAGCGTAGGACGGCCTTAAATATATCAATGATTGACACTAGGAGGACCACTTATTTAGATGATCCACCCCAAAATAACTTTAATGTTTTTCCTTTTTTTTATGTCTGTTTCACCATATTTTATTGTAATTTTACTTTTTATGCTAGTTTACTGTATTTTTATAGTTTTTGTGATATAAAATTTTTTTTTCAATATAAAATTATTTTATGATTTTAATATCTACATTAACAGTCAAAAGCAGAAGAGAGAAAATCAACAAAAAAAAAAAGAAAATAATCTGCTTTGTGTGGAAGAAGTGTAGCGTTGAAGAAAGCTCTGTGTTCACACCTTTAAAATATTTCGGAAAGTTGAAATTGAACGAGATCATGTTAAAATTCATTCTAATAAGGTAAAGATCTCAGAAACAGAACATAAACGTTTTTGTTTTCAGTTCTGTATTTCCATTTTGGTTAGCTTGCAACTGTTTGCATGTAAAAATTGACAAAAAGGAAATGCTAATGATCAACTAGAGGGGCTTTTTTCAAAGGGAAATGACTGCAAACCTTGTGAAACATCAGCCTGTGTGTTCAGGCCTTCATTTGCAGCCTGTCATCTGATAAACGCCTCATTCTAGCAAACTCTTCCCTCAGTCTTCTCACTCACGCCATTCATTCATTCATTACGGGTTATGGACGCCTCCTTTGTGCCGCTGCCTCCAGGCTGCTCACCTGCAGGGACCAGAAACAGGAAACCACAGAGACACAGGGGTTCTGTCACAATCCTCCCTCTGCGATTATCTGGAATTTACAGCATTGCTCAATGATGCTGCAGTTTCACTTTCACCTCGGTGATGAAAGTTTATAAGAAATGACCAAATTTGGTCTCGGATCCTCTCTGTTTCCACATAAACTCACGTATTCTGACAAAAATCCAGTTTAACCTACAGATACTGAATTTTCTCTCATTTCATGTTTTTTTGTTTTTGTTTTTCTTGTGTCAGTTTGAGGTTTTTGGTTTTGTGGGTCTTTTGTGAAGCAGTCAGACACTAATTAGCTCTTACTGGAAGGTGGGGGGGGTTGCATGTTTAAATGAGAGCAAAGGCCACCCTTGCGTTTCATTTTTATATCTCTGGCGCCATCTTGTGGAGATTAATAACAGTAATAAATAATGTCTCCATGGTTCAGAGCTTCTGCAGGTCATGTTTGATGTGGATGAATCCAGTGAAGTTCTGTTGATCAGAAGATTTAATTTTCCCGTCCTCTGCAGATCCACGCCCACTACGAGCTGAAGAAGGCTTCCCGCCACAGAAGGAACCTTGCCATCACGGGGGGCGTGGCCCTGTCTGTCATCACCGCCCCCGTCATCGCAGCCGTCAGCGTCGGTAAGAATCGCCCGGTCCGTCTCAAATGAGTAAAAAAAGCTTTTAGTTTCCTCTTTCTAAAATTACCACCTGCTTCCAGGTATCGGCGTTCCCATCATGCTGGCCTACGTCTACGGCGTCGTCCCCATCTCGCTGTGCAGAGGAGGCGGCTGCGGCGTCAGCAGGGGGAAGGGCCGCGGCGTGCGAATCGACTTTGATGAAGACGACGGTCCGATCACAGGTGAGTCTCACAGGAACGATAAAGCCTCCGGCAGAGCGATTGAGTTTATCTGTTGGATCTGAACGGGTCGATGTTCTCCGTCTGACTCTGCAGTGGCGGACGCCTGGCGAGCCCTGAAGTCTCCGAGCCGCGGAGAGAGCAGCCTTGACGGAGCGGTGAGCGGTCTGAGCACCACGTCCCCCAGCGAGGGGCTCTCTGTGGCCCCTGGGAACCTGGGAGACACTCCACACTTCAACACGCTGGCCGGCGGGGCTCTGGGGACCCGAACCAGCAAGTACAGCAGGTCAGAGATCCAGAGGTTCTATAGCCTGAAGTCATCCGGCTCTCAGGATGTGATGTCATGACTGAGATGTTTGTGCTGCTCCAGGTTGGAGGTTCAACCCGGCGAACTTAACAAGGAATCGGCCCAGAGAGAGACGGGAAGCTTGGGAGCAGGAAGCGACTGCGCCAGCACCCGGGGAATAGCCGGATCCATCATCTCCTCCTACACCTTACCTGACAGGTGAGAGGAAGCGGCGTCCGACTGGGCGACCTGGCGGTTCTTCTCATTTCCCTTCCATGAGTCGAGATGTTTCAAAGCAACGGTTTCAGTGGATTGAGGCTTAAAGGAATAGTACACCCAAAACATGATTAGCCTTCATTTTCTACTCACCCCCATGCTGAACAACACTCTGGAGTACTTTTTTGATATCTCAAATGCATCTGGAGATCTGGGAGGCTTCTTGCTGTCTGCTGACATTCAAATAATGGAGGTCTATGGCGCCCGAGGCAGAAAGGTCCATAAAAGTCCACAAAAAACGTGTCAATATTCCTCCATACTGCTCGTCCAATGTATTCCAAGTGTCCTGAGTGGGTAGCGTCCATAATCTACTCGAAACGAAGTCATTTAGAATGTTTTTAGAGCATAAACAGTAGTGTATAGGATTTCCTGAAAGCGCGTTCACGAGTCTAAGGAAACCGCGGCAGACCAAACCAGATGAAAGTGCGCATTCAGCTCGGCAAAGAACTCATGCTCTTCCTCAACACTGAAGTCCTCAGACATTTTTCTTTCGTTGTTTCTTTCTTTGCACAGGTAAACAGCACATTTCTTCTTCTACGCTTGCATTATCGGCAGAGCAGACGCTGAATGCGCACTTTCATCTGGTTTGGTCTGCCGGCTTCCGTAGCGTCGTGAACGCGCTTTTAGGAAATCCTATACACTACTGTTTATGCTCTAAAAACATTCTAAATGACTTTGTTTCGAGTAAATTATGGACGCTACCCACTCAGGACACTTGGAATACATTGGACGAGCAGTATGGAGGAATATTGACACGTTTTTTGTGGACTTTTATGGACCTTTCTGTCTCGGGCGCCATAGACCTCCATTATTTGAATGTCAGCAGACAGCAAGAAGCCTCCCAGATCTCCAGATACATTTGAGATATCAAAAAAGTACTCCAGAGTGTTGTTCAGCATGGGGGGGAGTAGAAAATGAAGGCTAATCATGTTTTGGGTGTACTATTCCTTTAAGCCTCAATCCACTGAAACCGTTGCTTTGAAACATCTCGACTCAAGGAAGGGAAATGAGAAGAACCGCCAGGTTTCAGCTCAGCATCCCGCGTCAGGCCAGCATACCCTTAGTAATACGCATGCATGCATCATTTACGTGTAATCTGAAAATAATTGAAAGTTCTGCATGTAACGTAAAAGTAAATAAATAAATAAAAAAAGATCCTCTCCCTATAAATATCTAATTCTCTGTGAAAAAGTCCCGATCATTCTTTAATAGGATCCTCGTCAAACGGACATAAATGCTTGTTTTTAAAAGATAATGTGTGTAGTGAACCTAGTGAAAACAGCATGATTGGCTGTAAGGAGAGCGGAGAGAGAGGACGCTCTAAGTTTTGCGTATTATTGAGGGTATGCTGGCCTGACGCGGTATGCTGAGCTGACAGAGCACCGGCTGGGATTTATGGAACCTTTAGATCTATTTTCAAATGTTCAAATATGTTCAAATTTCAAAAGAAGAATTAACTTAATTGAGTGACAAAATCTTAAGATTTATCTCTTGTTTTAGGTAAGAAGGTATTTGTTGAACAGGTCCAGCGCTGCAGCAGGCCCCATCTGTCATCAGAGTGAAATGTCGTGTCGTATTTCCAGAGTTGTGACGCGTTTCTCCTCCTCAGGGACTGCACCAACCTGGAGATCCAGGTGGACATCGAGACCAAACCCAGCCATCTCTGCCTGACCAGCGAGGAGGACCTGACTCCACAGCCAGGCTCTGCTGCCATGGCGACTGCCTCCGGAGGGGAGGAGCCTCAGGACTGCAGCTCCAGAAGGGGCGGGGCTCTGTCCTGCTCGCCCGGGGCGTCGATCAGGGAGGGGCTCAGAGACGTCACCCTGGCTCAGCCGGAGAGCATCCGCAGCGACCTGGAGATGTCGGACACTCAGTCGGACGACATCGCCGAGCTGACGTCGGACGACTGCGACTCGCCTCACCTGAAGAGCTGCCAGCAGCTGCAGCCTCCCTCCTGCAGGCTCCTGAACCCCCCCGCCGACGGCCTTCACTGTCCCGCGGACAGCAACGTCATCCTGTATGTCTGAGAGGGGCGACGCTCTCAGGATTGCACACGAACTGATGAACTCACCTTGGAACCTTGTTTTCCTCCCTCCGGTCGTTTCTCTTCAGCTGCTTTAATGTCTGAAACGCAGACAGCGTTTGTCTTATCGATCTACTGGCCAGCCTCCTTTTCTGAGTGAGCGGTCAGGGTTCTACCTCTCCCATTTGTTGTTTACTCCTCGGTGCAAAATGCCTTGGCTTCTTAAGCAAAAAAAAAACAAAACAAGAAAAACGATTCAGAGAAGTAAAAATGCAAAAATGATATAAAATAAGGAGACAGTTACCAAGCACAGCAGACAGACATGGAGGCGTGTTTGAATGGAGACCAACAGCTGTCTGCTTTTCTTTTCTTTTCTTTTCTTCTGCTGTTTCTGACTAGAGATGCACTGATCAGGTTTAATCCGATCCAATCCGATACACGGCCTGAGCATCTCAGCCGATATTTGACATCTGATACCGATCCGATAACACCGTATAATGAAATAACTGTACAGCTCATAAAAAAATAAAAACACAGATATAAATCATTAATTACTGCTGTGCTGTTCTGCAGGATGATGAGATGATCACTGCTTAAAATTGATCGCTGTAAATGCGTTGCTGCGCATGATATCAACAAAAATAGAAATCACTGGATCGGAAAGCTGGATCGGCATCTTTCACCCGATATCCGATCAGCGCATCGGATCGGTGCATCTCTATTTCTGACATCAAGTTATTGTATTTCTTTGCGGCGTGCATGAGCCTGCATGAACCATTTCCTGCCCAGAGTTTACCTTCAGAGGACAAAGCGGTTCTCTAAAGGTAAAGGAGCTCCTTGGAGCGGTGCACACGCTGCAGGAGTGAACTAATGAGAGAGTTCTGATGACGACAGCGACGCAAAACACAAAAACACACAGAGAAAGATGAATCATTCAGTAATGGATGAAAAGATTTTCTGTTTCAGCCCCTAAAAATAAAGAAAATCATTTTTTCTTTGTTTCATAAACGATGATCAAAAAAAACAACCGTTATAGATTAATTTTGATCTAAAAGAAACTAATCGGCCAAATGATTGATTGTATCCATGGTTATTATTCCCTTTATTATTATTATTAGATTTGTTTTTAAAGCTTTAATGATTCTGACTCTCAAACAAAAAGATCAATTTTATAGTTTTATATAAACTCATTCCAGAGCATCTAAAAAAAAACACATTTGCTACAATCAATTAAGAAAAATGTTTAAAGATGTATAAAATTAATTAATATCTTAACTGTTTAATTCTGTAAAATTCACTATGATTCAGAAACTTCAGCAGGACCTAAAATTAACATAAAAAAATTGTTGTTTTAGAAGAGACAATCATAGATAATCACTTATAATATTTAGCTACAATGAAAATGTTTTTTTATATATATATATTCAATAAATCATAGATGCTAAATAAACAGAAGCAGAATTTTCAGAAGCAGAAGTTTCAGAAACAAGATTTATTTTACAGTTTTGTGGAAGACAATCATATAAAGCATGTAGCTAAGATAAGGGTTGTGATTGATTATTAAACATACTGATTATCTAATTGTTACTGCGCCATTTCCTGACACTTTAGTTGATTTAGGAATATTTAAGACTGTGTTAAAAAAACGGTTTGACAGACAGAAAAATTTACCTAAAAACAACAGAATGACTGGAAATAGTGGCCAAACTATTGATCCCTTCTGGGTTATAATATCAGTATCGCATTTTGTGGTTTGCTTAAGAGTCTAAACGCTAAAATATTTTTCCTAACACGGCCAAATCTTTCAAAAACTCTCAACTACTTATCCTTTATTGTTGTAGCCTATTGTGTGTCATGATGTTGGTATCAGTTACCGGTATCAGTTACTGGAATTAGTTATCAGTATCAGATATCGGTATCTGTAACTGGTATACCAGTATCAGTTACTGGAATTAATTATCGGTATTAGTAAATGGTATACCGGTATCAGTTACTTGTATCAGTTACTTGTATCAGTTACTGGAATTAATTATCGGTATCAGTAACTGGTATACCGGTATCAGTTACTTGTATCAGTTACTGGTATCAGTTACTTGTATCAGTTACTGGAATTAATTATCGGTATCAGTAAATGGTATACCGGTATCAGTTACCGCTATCAGTTACTTGTATCAGTTACTGGTATCAGTTATCAGTATCAGTAACCGGTATACCAGTATCAGTTACCGCTATCAGTTACTTGTATCAGTTACTGGTATCAGTTACTTGTATCAGTTACTGGAATTAATTATCGGTATCAGTAAATGGTATACCGGTATCAGTTACCGCTATCAGTTACTTGTATCAGTTACTGGAATTAATTATCGGTATCAGTAACTGGTATACCGGTATCAGTTACTTGTATCAGTTACTGGTATCAGTTACTTGTATCAGTTACTGGAATTAATTATCGGTATCAGTAACTGGTATACCGGTATCAGTTACTTGTATCAGTTACCGCTATCAGTTACTTGTATCAGTTACTGGTATCAGTTATCAGTATCAGTAACCGGTATACCAGTATCAGTTACCGCTATCAGTTACTTGTATCAGTTACTGGAATTAGTTATCGGTATCAGTAACTGGTATACCGGTATCAGTTACTGGTTTCAGTTACTGGTATCAGTTATCAGTATCAGTAACCGGTATACCAGTATCAGTTACCGCTATCAGTTACTTGTATCAGTTACCGCTATCAGTTACTTGTATCAGTTACCGGTATCAGTTACTTGTATCAGTTACCGGTATCAGTTACTTGTATCAGTTACTGGAATTAGTTATCGGTATCAGTAACTTGTATACCGGTATCAGTTACTTGTATCAGTTACTGGAATTAGTTATCGGTATCAGTAACTTGTATACCGGTATCAGTTACTTGTATCAGTTACTGGTATCAGTTACTTGTATCAGTTACTGGAATCAGTTATCAGTATCAGTAACCGGTATACCAGTATCAGTTACCGCTATCAGTTACTTGTATCAGTTACCGGTATTAGTTACCAGTATCAGTTATCGGTATCAGTTATCGGCATCATTTACTGCATAATTTCCTGAAATATCCCTTGATGTAGACATACTCAACACTTATTTGAACAAAAAAATCCTTTTGGAAAGAAATATTTACCAAAAGCAGACCAAATGTTTGTATTTGTCTCTACTCCAAATTTTATCCAGAACCTGATCTGTTGTTTTTACACTGAGCCATTCGCTCCATCAGAACTCTTTCAGGGTTTCTTTCTGCTCCAGCATCTGGCGCCAGGCTCACATCTGAACGCCGCTCACTGACCAGCACAACCACAAACACACCCAGCTGGTTCTGCTTTGGAAGTTCTTTACCCGTCTGACCCACTCTTACATGCATGAACGACAGAACATGTGATGAATGTATTTGTGCGACCCACTTTGTCATTTGATTTGACTGAGCACTTGTGCACTTTATCTGAACGTCTTATTTATGTTTTTATTTTTTGCCTGTTATCACCTGTTGCTGTTAACATGTTTACTTGAGTAAAAAACAAAAGTCTGTGGTACAACCAAAAACAAACGCCTTTCTGTTGGAAGGAACGAGAGAAAAGTTTGCCTCCAAAACCATGTTTATTTCGCAGTATTTTTTTATCTTAAATTGTGTTTTTTGGTGTGTGTCTTTTTAATCAATGCTGTGATGCAAGAGCTTAACATAATTTATTCATTTTCATTCTTTTTATGAATTTTCGTCGCTCTGACCATTTTTACAAGCCAGTATCACTTGTAAACATCCAGTTTTGGAGCCAAATGTTGAGTTTTCTCACATCCATTCTGACGCGTCTCTAAGCTTTGGACTCACCTCTGTGCTTCTTTTTTCGAAGGTTTTCAGAAACCTTTTTGGGGTTTTTTTTTTCTTCATCTCAGAGTAGCTTTATGGATTCTGCTGCTTTCGTTACTTAGCGGTGCTGTTTTGTCCACACATGTCACAGGTTTTTGCCTATCTTTCAGAAGAAGACGAATGTACCACAGACGGAAAACCGGGACTTTGAAAGAGCCCCAACGAGTGTTAATCCCCTTTAGGAACACAGTTGCTTCTGTGTTTATTTGAAATGGTTTTATAGATGGCAATATTTAAGTGTTATAATTAAAGGAACTGTTTTTTTTTATTATTATTGTTGCGGTGAAAGCCTTGTTTTGATGAGGCACTGCACATGCCGGACTGTAAGACTGTGGAGATTTTGGGGGGAGATTTAATAAATAAACACAGTTTTATGTTGCACCAAAGCCATGGTTTGTTGTCTGTTATACTGGGATGGATTGATTTAATATAACGAGCTGTGAAAGTCTGTGCACCCCAGGAATCTGCACACACAGACTGGCTACATGGAGTAATAGAAGCAACACTGTTAAACGTTTTACGGTCAAGTGTTTCATTCTATTTTAATGCAAACTGAAAAGGTAAAATGTGCGTCCAGACTGTTAGACACTTTACTTAACTTTTTTTTTTATGATAACACCCCTCCTGTAAATATATATATAAAAAAAAAGTTTTGTGTTGTGAAAAGAATGAGACCACGATTGTAAAATTCAACTGAAAAATAAAAAGTTTGAAATAAATCAAACAACGGAAATGGCCTGGCTGTGTCAATGGGCCTACTAACAGTTTGTCCCTTTCTTTCACATCATCCTTATATTCCTGCTCTACATTCAACCCTCAAAGTTTTCTTGTCCACCACATTCTTGAGGCAAATGCTTCAAAAACTCCATTAAATTTGCCTTATTCCTTTCTATAAACTTTAGTTTTCTTCTGGTGAAGCCTTTATTTAGTTGATTTGGACGTACCCATCAAAGAGAAAAAAAAGTCCCTCTTCGTCTCTGGCTTTGGCTTTTAGAAATAACTGCTAATTAAAAATGTTTATGATTCTATCAACCTTGGCAAAGTCTGAAATCCCAGAGCATGATACTGCCACCAACATTTTCTTTTATTTATATAGCCCTTCACAACACGAGTTGACCAAAGTGCTGTGTATAAAATCAACATGACAGAAAACAGAATGAAAGGAAAAAAGTTCAAGAAGAAGAAATTAACATTAAACTATGATACTGAATGCTAAAAGCCAGTCTGAATAAATAGGGTTTGAAAAATGACAAATTCAGTCAGTAGTCGTACAAATGTCAAGAGACAATTTATTCAGTAGCCTTTTCCCAGTGATTGAGAAGGCCTGAACATAACATCATACCTACTGTAGCTCTAGCGACTTC